GTAATAACTGCTTGGATCCAGCCCCGTGTCACCTCCCTGCTGTTAGCAACCAGCCAGGAGGGACACGGGTCCAGTACACAGGTGGAGGCACTCACAGCCCTCATGGCCTTGTCCACGTCCCCGGGGGTAACATCCTGAAACTCAACCCAGCGATGGTCTACCAAATCGTCCTCTCGTGTCTCGGCTGGCTCCGCAAAGGTGGAGTCCAAATCCGACCGAAACCAAGCAACTTTGTCCGCCAAGAACTGGGCATAGTCTTCAGCCCTACCCTGCAAGGGGTCCCCCGTATCCCTCTTATTTAAGCATTTATATTTAAGCCCTGAATAAAAACCTTGAACATTAAACAGAGCTGATTCTGGTATAACAAATTGCTAAATGGTAACAGATTATTAAGTAAAAGTATACAAGTATGAAAGATGGAGCACTGGTTAGCTGTCAGAATTTAAGTAACAACTTGTAAGTAACATTTGAGATAAAGTACTGGTTGTTGAATAGACTGCCTGCCAAGTAGTGTTAGATTTGATGGATTGTTTTCAGCAGCAAATGTATCTCATACATACCACCAGTAACCAGAAGGCACACTTTTCCAAGGAAAAAGTTTGCATCTACATGTGTAAGGGAAGCTTCTATATCTTCAAAACTGGCAAAAAAGCAAATAAAAGGAAACAAAATGCAGGGTTTTTACAAATGCAAAGAAATCCCTTGTATATTCATGATCTAGTAATAACAGCTTTTAATAAATCATAAGAAAAAGAAAGAGCCCCCCCATTAGTGAACAAATGCTTATGTTTCAAAGGAATTTTTATTTACATTTCAATTAGAACATAATTGCTCTTTCAGTTTTTATATAATCTCTTTTGTTACTGAATTCCTGAAGGAGCAAATTTCTCTAGATAATATTCAAGTTTAGAAGAAAAAACCCTATTATTTTAATGATATTAGCAATTTATTAAATAGGATGTCATTCTTTTTTTAGATTTGTATCCCTGTTTTATTATATAACTTAAGCCAGAGAATTTACCTAATGTACCTAATTTTACATACTTTAGAATGATATTTAAAAATGAGAGCTTATAGTTTTAAATCTATTCAATGCAAATAGGTAAACTTATGTTCCCCCTTGAGTTTATTACACTTTGCCCAAATTAGTAATTAGACAAACAAATCCCTTCTCCCCTTCTGTCAAATATATTGTTTCTGTTCATACCTGTATTTGCTTTGAACATTAATCATAAAGACAATCAAATCAATCCTTGGTCGGATGTGGTTTCTCTCCACAGGTAAAGGAAGAGAGGCTGTCAAATGGCTAAAAAAAAAAAGCCTCTGCATTTTCAGTCAACTGTCCCAAACCAAATTTGTTCTAAAGAAGCTTTATTGGAAAAGAAAATATTAACACTGAAGTATTAAATTAAACTACAGCAGAAAGAAAAAAATAGTCACAAATGTAACATAGTATGATTACACTTAAGTACTAGCTATGGGATTGTATCTGAAGATTAACTTCTGCTAGTTCCAAGTGTGCTGGGCTACAATCTCATTAAAACAAGCCAGAAAGTGAGATAAGCTTGCTATGTGCCAGATATTGGCAAGAAATATTATTAACACAATTGCTGTGAACAATATAACAGCTCCATTAAATAGTCAAAGTCTCTACTTCAGTCACCAACTAGCAAACTATATTAAGGAGGAGAGACAGAAATAGGCCATAGAGGCGGTTTAGTCACAATTATTTCTTTTCAGCTGGATTGGAAATTATCACTTAGTTGGGGGTGGAGAGATCAGGGGGCAGAGGGTTAATCTAAAGTGACAGCTTAGTATGGCCAGCTACAATTTAGCCTCCACTTACATGAGGTTCTTCTCCAACTGTAGGGTGGCAACAGACACATGCTTAGAAAAAAAGAACTTATAGAGATAAGCTTGGAAGAATTTTTATTGTGAAAGCTCTATAGGGGCAAAATTGTAAAAAAAAAGGCCTAGCTTAACAGCATAAAAAAGATGTTCTAGCTGTTCTAGTGGATAGAATAGAATTTGACTAGAAGAGCTATAGGCACACAATGGCCATCTTTTGTCCTAAAGGTGGCAGATGAGCTCTTCTGTTTACTTTGCTGCTTTAAAAGCTATGATTTTAAAGCAGCAAAGTAAGAAGATGCCATCTTGTGGGAGGAATATTTTTCGATAAATTGCTAGAATATTACACACCAATAGGTCATGATTGGCCTTCCCTGGAACATTGACAAAAATGATCACCAATGAATTTGACTTTCAAGATTGAGGGAGATTGGGAAATGGATTCATTATATCCAAGTGGCAAACAAATGTTGAGATATTAATTATCTAGTTAGGATTAACCCCCCAAAAGGGGGGTATAGAAAACATAATTTATTGATGTGCCTCCCATATCATTTCCAGAAATTGACAACATAATCAAAAGCAAAGACTCTGCAGGTGCAGATTGAACATATATAGCATTTTTGAGCATGCTACTTTACCATAATACCATAGATTAACAAATGTTAATAGGTGAGAACAAAAATTCTGGCAATATTTTTTAAGTGGAATCTTTTTTCCACTACTTACATATTTATTTTCAAATCTTGTTTTTCCTTAAGTATAGTTTCTGCTAGTTGCTGCTGAAAAACATCATTTGTTCCCACCAACTATTAATGAGGAAAAAAAGTTAGTTCAAATAGCTGCAAGAAAAACAGTGATCAGTTCTAATCTGCTATACTTTTGCTGTCCTCATTCTTCTATTATCAAATTCAATTAGTTGAATTTTATCAGACTCAATAGAAAAAATAGCCATTAACTGGGAGGAATTTAATACATAGTCTTCATTTTCAGTATAACAGGTCATAAATGTGTCATTGTCAATACTTCCTTAGTTTAGTTTACTTGGCAACATTCAAAAAGTGATTTTCTTTCAGTATCCTTTTTCAATTTCCTAATCTAGGCTATACATCTGGAAATTCCAGATATTATCTCACCAAAGTATTAGCCAGATCCAAGCCTCGGGAGCTTTTCTTGACATAGGCTAAGAAGCTGCCGTCAACTACTGGGACCTGGGATACTTAATAAATACAGAGGTGTCCTACTCGCAAAGACATCCATTTACTTTGCAGTCCCAAAGGTGCTTTTTTCAAGAGGCAACTAGACCTGGATGACTGAGAATCTCCATAGCTATCTACTTTGCAGATTTCTCCTTCGGACTATTCCATAAGCGAAATCATTCCGCAGGATGTCGCTCCTTGGAAAGTTTCAGCGCAACTCCCGTGTCAAGCTGAAACCATCCAACCCCCTGGTCAGCGGGCTAAAAAGAGAGAGACCTGGCGGCCACTGGCTGAAGGACGGGATCGTTTTTTTTAACCCGTTTTCAACTCAGGACCTCAGAACCGATAACCGGAGAAGGGACGGCAAGCGCAGACGTTACCCGCGTGCACTATTGTTTTATAGACCTTACGATACGTACCAAAATGGTCGCAGAATGAAGTGTTGGGAGTTTGCCGAAGGCACTCAACGTCGACATTATCACAACTAAGAAAAGCTCATTCTCTTTTTCAAAACTACCGCCCATTAGCGTCGCCGTGACGTCATTATATCGTCGCCTGCGGACGGTCAGAAGACGGCAGGAACTAGACCTCTTTTTTTTTCTGCGCATGTTCGGGCGGTTGCGCGGAGCATGCGCGTTACATCAGAAGCGCTGGGTTTGTTGCTGATATGCGCCGCAGAACCTGACCCGAGTACGGCGTTTTGGACAGTATGTCCGTTAGTCTCGCTGTTTTCTCTCGGGCAGCGAGGAATAAATACACGCAACGCTGGGCTCTCCTGAATGAAGTGATTGTAACCACAAATGAAACTCCAAACATGCACTTTATACAAAAGATAAAATTTTGTCACGGGTTTCATTTCTCTTTTCTAAATTGCTAAGTCAGCGTGGATAACCTATCCCCCCAAAGCTTGCATGCAGCCCTTTTGCTCTTATTTCAATACCAATAAACTAAAAACTGATGGCTTGGAAATCCGCATGAATAAAAACTATAGGGTCACTACCCGTGGAGGCCAATTCCATTAAAAAGGAAAGAAAACGAAATATCACTTCTTATTGCAGACACCCCTCCGTGTGCAACTATGGCTCTTGACTACCAAGAGCGCCACCTAGTTTTCGCTCAGTTATTCTGTTATCAAGGCAAGCTAAAATTAGCGCTGCTCGTGAAACCTAGGCTCCGAAGAACATAATGCTGTTGCATGACCTATTTAATTTTTGTTTTGTGTATCAAGGGGAAAAGAGAACGCGTTCATATGCCCTGCCTTATGCAGAGGCTTGTAAAATGCCTCTGCTGTTCTCTGTCCCCAGTGTTGTACTTTTAAGAGAAAATTGTTTCCCTTGTTTGAAATTTCAAGTTCAGTTCTTGATACGAATCAGATATTTTGAACACTGAATAGGTTAAGAGGCTATTGAAAGAATAATGGGGAAAAATAAGCGATCGAAATTCTCTTACTATTTTCTCTTTTATTTTTTCTCTTTAAGGAAATAGAGTTAGCCCCAAATACTGTTCATGTGGCAGTAAGGTGTATTTTACTGTAAATTACTGTAGGTTTTGTTCATGGATCCAAATCCACAAATATTTTAATAAAGTTTTACTGTAGTTTTTAAAGAAATCATTTTGAATATTAATTTGTAAAAATAAATGTACATATGTATGTAAGTATTGATTTTAAAGGAATTTCTTTTCTTTGAAAGCATGGACTGTTATGTCCTGATTATTTATAACATTTATATAGCTCTTTCTAAACTTTTGGTGATTTACAGTAACACTGTATCTAATCATATTAAGTCAATTGTTAAAACAATAAATAAAACTCAATATTCAAAATAGAACAATAAAGCATCAACTCTGCACAAATAGTAGAGTCCTACTCCAAAGATTTGTTGGAACAGTCACACCTTTTACCCCGTTCTAGAAGGTCAGCTGTGACTTCTAAGGAGACTCATTTGGGTTGTAACCAGGGAAGAAATTCAGCAGGTTCTGGAGAACAGGTAGTGGAAATTTTGAGTAGTTTGGAGAACCGGCAAACACCACCTCTGACTGACCCCAGAGTGGGGTAGGAATGGAGATTTTGCATTATCCTTTCCCTGCCACACCCAAAAAGCCACGTCCTCAGAACCTATAGTAAAAAAATGAATTTCACCACTGGTTGAATCCTTTAAATACTTGTATGCTTGTAAGTATAGCTTTATATAGCAGCAATTTGACTTGTGAATATATAGCACCACAGATTTGAAATCATAATTCAAAATTCAGAGGCGCAGGGGCTTTCTTGTCTATCCTAGTCTTTGGAAGAACACCAAAATAGAAGGGAACTGCATTGACCTCAAAAATGGCTTTTGTTTTTGTATTGAAAAACAA